ATTTTTAAAATAGCATTTTCATTCCTTTCTAAGGAATTGTTCGCAAAGCTTTGAATTTTGCTGTGAAAAGAAAATTTATACATTATACGATTTTATGGAAATGATGATGTGTACTTATTATTTAATTTTTTTATTTTCTTGGCAAAAGTCGGCGTTACATAAGAAAATTTTATACTAAAATATTTGGTTGTCATAACTGAACGACAAAAATGATTTCATTGCATAAATAAATAAATGAAAAGAGGTTAAATTCATACAATAATAATGGTTATCTAACTAATTATATGGAATGATTCTCATTAAATTTCATAAAAAAAAAATATCACATCATAAATCTCTAATGCCCAGTGTTGGTCAAATGACCAGGTTTATATGGGACTGATTTGCTTCAGCCATCCTTATTATCGACTAATTAAGAAATTATTAATGCTTCAGAAGATAACGAATGATTTCATCTTTTATAAATTTAGAATTTAAATAATAATACGGGTTATTTTCGTGCATAACTCTTATCGCATTTGAGAATTTCAAGGGAATGTTGAAAGGTTCATATAAAATGCTTAATCAAGTAGACTTGAAACTTGTAATAACAGTTCATTGGTATCACATGAGCTGACAATTTGAAACCAAATTAAATATTCATTTAACATTATTAATATGTCTTTTAAAACATTTTATATAAATAGAATTTATTTGATGCAGTAACAATGAATCAATGATGAACAAAAACGACACATTGTCGCACAAAAGGAATTTTGATAAACAAAATAATAAGTATTCGGGACCATTGCATATATTAATTCTTCAATGCGCGCTTAGGAATTATAGTCCCCATAAATAATTGCTTGCTAACAAATAAAAGATCATGTGTAACCTTCCGTTTTAAGGTTCATGCCAACATTCGATGATTCATTGGAAAGTTCCTTTTATATTTTATTTATATTTTAAATTGGGTTTGTTTTTTTTCTTAATTCTTTTTCTATTTTTGAAATTTCTCCATTTAGGTAATCAAAAGATTTATCGTTTCGGTGGTACATTGAAAATAAATTATATTAAATAGTTGGGATCATTCTTTGAATTTTGATGTTTTTCCTTTTGGTGCCTTTTTTTTTAAAAAAAAAAAAATAATTTATTCGCCTGAGAAATTTTTTTTCTTATTTTTTTTTATTAACTGTCTCAAATTAATTATAAATTATTATAAAATTCAAAGAGATGGCAAAACTCATTTTATTAATCGGGCTAGGTTTGGCCATATGGAGTGCGTGGGATATATACAATACGGTGCGCAAATCTCAAAAGAGAGGAGTAAATTTCAATTTTTTTTTTTTTTTTTTTTTTTTTTTTTTTTTGCATTTATTTATAAAGCTGAGTGATTAATTTCTTTTCTTTTTTTTTTTTTTTTTTTTTTTTTGAAAAAAAGAATACACCTATCAAAATAAAATCAAATAAGAAAACAAATGAAAACATAGATAAGACGATTAGTATTTCAAGAAGAAATTCCATCAATCGTCAAACAGTGTAATTATGATCTTTTTTTTATAAGAGGGTTGAAAATTAAATTAAAAAACTAAAAAGTTCTCAATTGATTACGATAGGTCAAGGGACATATCGTCATATGAACTTATAAAAGAAATAGGCAGTGGACATTATGGAAAAGCTCTTTTAGTTAGAGATAAAAATTCTCAAAGAGAATTCGTATTAAAAGAGATTCCATTAGAAATCTATGAGAATCATGATATATTGAAAAATGAACATTTAATACACAGTAGTTTAAAGTAAGAAGAATGATAGATTTTTATCATTTACATGTTAGAAGGATACTTATTAAACCAAAAAAAAATTAAACATTTATAGTAACAAGTTTATTGTTAAATATTATGGATTCATGGTGACTGAAGATTTTGTTTATATTATACTCGAATATGCCCAAAGAGGTGATCTTTTGGATCATGTCTTGAATCATGGAGCATTTGATGAAGTTACTACTGCAAAGGTAAATGATTTTTTATATATCTTTTTATTGTAATTTGATCTTTTTTAACACTCGTTTCCCTTATTAGATCATTTCACAATTAGTGTGTGGGATCAATTATATGCATCAACTAAATATTGTTCATAGAGATATAAAACCAGAGAATATCTTACTTTTTGATGATGGCCTTGTTAAAATTTGTGATTTCGGCCTTTGTGGAATATTACCGAAGGATAACAAAAAGTAATTATTATTCATTGATTTTATTTATTTAATTTGTTTTTTTTAAAAAAAAAAAATGGCTAATTTAAATTATCGCCCATTAGATTAAAAGGGGCAGGAGTCGGTACGCTTGTCTATAGATCCCCGGAACTTGTATTAAGTTTACCTCATAATGAAAAGACCGATATATGGAGCATAGGAGTATTGGCATATATACTACTTACAAACGAATCACCTTTTGAGGATAATGAAGAATTTGAAATTACTAACAGAATCCTCAAGGCCGATTACACTTTACTCGATGATAATTTTTCCCCTGAAGCTCAAGATTTTATTTATTCGGTATGTAAAGGTTTTTTTTTTTTTTTTGTTCATTTTTTATTTTCCATATCTTTTTAACGAAAAAAATATTTCTTTAATAGTGTATACAAGTGAATCCAATGCATCGACCTTCTACTCAAGAATTATTAAATCATCCTTGGATTTCATAAGTTCAATTATTTTCGATTATTTTTTTTTTTTTTTAAAAAAAAAAAAAATTATAATTATACTAATTTCTTTACTTGCATTTAATGTTATATATCACTTGTACTTTGTAAACAACAAACAATATCACTAAAAATTCCATTATCATAATAATTAATTTTACGCCACGATGAAGATTTATTGATTCTGACGAAATTGCAGTTCATGGTATTGAGGAGGTGGCACGAGGATTCTCAAAGATTTTAAAAGTGAGATAGCTCTCAACATGAGATGATTAGATCTTTATCCTTGAGCGAACCTTTCATATGCCCGACATTCGAGAATTAACAAGTCAGGTTCAACTTACTTGGGGGAATGAAGTCGGAGAAATTGCGCAATTATGATCCTTCATGAAATAATCGTCACCATTAGCTTATTTGATTTTTTTCCGATCGAAAGTTTTATCATGATTTGTACAATGGATATATTTGGATCGTAAAATGATCAAGGAACAAAGATTGTTGTTCCTCAAGAGACAGATGATGAAAAATAATCGTACAAAATAAATAAATAAATAAAATAAAATAAAATAAAATCAAAGTATTCTAATAATAATTTCCTTATCAAGTAACTTCATTTGCAAAATTTTTTAGTATGAAAACGACAAAATGAGAAAAATAAAGAACAATTTCGCCAAATTAGGATCATGATCAAAGTATCGAGAAATGTTTACAGAAAAAATATTGACACAAAAAAGAATAACAAACCTCATTTATATTACCAATTTGGGTGAGACAAAAAAAAAAAGCCAATTTTATAAGTTTGGTGATCTTTCGCAGTAATAATAAATACATGATAAAAAAAACCCCTCCATACTTTCTTTGAAAAGTTTCAATCATATCACTTTTGTGAATAACAGAAGGACCAAAAATTTCAAAAATAAACGTTATCATGACGACAAGTAAATTTCTGATCATTTTGACATTACTGTCGTTTAATTTTCATTTTCTCCCTACAGCGTCAGCACAACCAGTTCAATCGGTTAGAAATGACTCCACTTCAGAAGTCATTGACACCATCCTATCCGGACTAATCCCAACCCTGATATTCATCTTTTTCGAGGATAACATAAACAGGGATTGTAGTCTTATACTAGGGTTGATCGATGACTTCTTAATCATCTTGATCCCACCAATTCTATCATTTTTCATACACAACAAGCATGAAATAATGTTTTTCGTTATTTATCTGACTTTTGTCTTTATCATATTGGCGATAGTGCATTTTGACCTCCTCAACAACAGGTTCAAAGGGTATATATTAAAGGCCCTACCGTGTCTTTACCTTCCGTTGAACCTGAGCATATTTGGATCAATGTTATATCAATTATTTACTGTCCCCCAATCGGATTTGACATTATCTATTATCACCGCCTCGGGTTCATTCATCTTTATTCTCGTCACCTTCTTCACTCAAAAGTACAGGAAGGTAGATACTCGGCGATTCCTTTTTACCTTTATCATGATCAACGCCATGAATTTGGGTTGGGTTACAATATTGATGAATCATGTCGTCATCTTTCCCCTTAGCACACTGAAGTCCAAGCTCATTTACACGTTGTGGGGATTTAGCGTCACGAGGTTGGTGAAGATCAACTCGACAGATATTAATTATGAAAGTATAGTGTACCATATCACCCATTGGCAAAAGGACACGTCAAAAAAAAGTGACCCGTTAGAAGAAAGTATTAACAAAGAGTTGAATAACAACGGACCTCAGGTTGACGTTTCGTTACCGATGGAAGATACGGAAGGTTATTTTTCCAATTTGCACCGTGAGATCACCAGAACCGAGTCTGATTTTTCCATTTTGTACCGTGAGATCGCCAGAACCGAGTCTGTCGCAAACCAAGAGGTCATCAGGTGCTATTACAGGTTCGGGAAGGCTCTATCAGAGCGACGTGTCCATTATGAAAGAACTTATCAGCCACGTGCGATGGCTCAAATTTTAGTTAATATGGAGGCAAGAAAACAACTTCCGAACGTTACCAAAGCGGAGTTTAAAAAGATAAGAACATTATCCCAAAAGGTCTACAAATTATTTAGCATTGGCGAGGAATTGATATCACGTGTATCATTTACCGTATCAGACATTTCGACTCTCAGTTGGAAAAAAATTGAGAGTATAATTAAGAAACATCTGGAAAATAGGAGTGGTAATGTGATTATCATAGTTGACATTGATCCGATTGGGGGATTAAACTGGCCAATCAATGTGAAATGTGATGGAAGAGACCAGGAAACTGATTTTATAGCAACATCAAAGTCGTCAGCTGAATCTAAATAAAAAAAGGCGCGTTAAAGGATTTGACATCCAAACTGTGATTCGTGACGCATGAGGAGATTATATGTCGCTAACCCATCACAAATTATGAGTCCGGAGCGTTAGCGAAGGACTATATATGTTTTATGCGCTTTGATGTCTCGATGTCCGCCCGCTCAAATTTTGAATCGATACGTGGTTGGTCCCTTTCGTTGCACATGTGCTCCGGACTTAAACAATGGTTTCCGAAACCATTCCCTAGTGAAATGTATAATTTGATGTTAATAAATGAAAAAATAATCATCTGCGCATGATCGGCTTTCATAATCCTGGTCAAATACATAAATCAGAATGATAAATTCAGTTACATCCGCTCTGTGAAATCAAAATACATTCTTTGTTTTAATCAAAATATGTATTTAAATAATATGTTGATAATGGTACCCTGATATAATAATACAAAGGCATCCGGTATCTAAAAGAAATAAAAAAAAATTATGTTAAACGGGCATAGGGTGATTCAAGGTTGATTTGATTTATTTCCATTTAAACTCTGTGCATCAATCAACTGTTTGCAGAACTTCCCGTTATTGCTTAATGCCCGTTGGACATTTCCGAAGTGCCGGCCATAGATCAGAAACAGGGGGGCGGTTGAGATGGAAAGATCAAAAATGAGCTATTATTATGACAAATGTCAATGACGAGATACCGTACATCCGAATTCAGCGATAACACGACAGCTCACCTTGTGTTTTCTATTTGCAAGGGGACTCGTATAATAAAATCGGATCGACATTTATGCAAGGTTTAGCATTGGTTACCTCTCTTCAAATTTGTTCGACTCACGCTCGCATAAATCAACTTTCACATGAAAGAAAAATTTACTTCTCGCATATTTTCAATGTATGACTGATTCACGTTATCTCTCTTTGAGCATTTCGTTAAACAAACATCATTTATTAAGCTAAATATTATTGATCAAAAAATCGAACTCCTCTTTTTTATTCTCAGTAATACAAACGTTCTAAACTTAAAAAATGTCATTCATTCAAAAAGACACCTTTGTCGTAAACGGTAATTTGTAATCATATAATAAAAAAAAAAAAAAAGAGTTACCAAAAAAAGCTATGATGACTATTACTAAATTTAAACAAAGTGTTCATCCATGGATGCGTGATATTTAATTCATCACAACCGCCTTCATTTAATTATTTTATTGTTATACAACAAATTTTTTTTTTTTGAACGAGTTATGCAGGGCTGAGGCATGTCAAATGATAAAGTATTAATTTCTCTCTTAATGAAATACAACCGCATTGTCATTGTCTGGTATCATGTATGTACCAAGCCTTTTTGGGGTTTCCCTCCCTTTAAAGTTTTGTGACTTTAAATTTATTTTTTTTTTTTTTATTTGATTTGATTCGATTTCTCTCCGGAAATTCCCCTTTTATGTATACGATTTCTAAAAAGATTCTCATTGTAAAAGGGTTCCTAATCCTTTTATTTGAGTTTATCATTCATTTCGACCTGTAACACATTATGATCTCTTTTTTGTGTAAAAAAAAAAAAAAAAAGGGTGGAAACGATTTTCAAAAGGCAATTTCTTTGTGACTGTGCTTTGTCGAAAATAAACGTCGTGTACCCAATGTGATTGAATGTGTGGTCTTGGAATTTCGATGGTGATCATTAATAAGAAAATCATGGTAACTAACTTTACGTGCATAGGGGGTTTAACCAATAAGAAGTCCTTCGTTCCATTGTTGCTTAGTATGGTCATTATTGAAACAAATATATCATTTACAAAATGATGTTATTTTTTAGGATCTCGCGATCCTTTATTGTCGATGTCAATATCAATACGATGAAAATAGATAGATCTCTAAAAAAAAAAAATGAAACGGTGGGAACAAGGAAAAAAACTCCTTTCATAAACAAGGAAATCTGAAGGCGTTAATCCTTATTGAGCGAATTGTAGAATTTGAACGTTCGATTTGGTATTTTACAATGAATCTAAAATTTACGGCTATTTTTAAACAATTTAGTTGATCAATGCCAAATAAAAAGAAAACAATTTAATTAATAAAATCGATCCTTTTTTTATTAAAATCTTTATGATAAAAAAATAACCGAATTTTTTTTTTTGAACATCTGGAACATTTTCGAATATTTTAATCATTCTTAAGATTGGTCATAAGATAATTATCAGTAAAATGAACTTTAAAAATTGAACATTAAATTGAATTCGTAAAGAGAAATTCAAAAGAAAAAAAAAATATTGTAAAAAAAAAAAAAATTAATCATAATTATAATAGTAGTAGTATATATAGTAAATTTGCCAAGTGTCAACTTGGCTCTTTTTTTTTTTTTTTTTTTTGTTTTAATTGAAAATTGTAAATTGTAATAGGGAATGAAATAATAAAAGTGAAAATGATTTTTTTTTTTTAAAAAAAAAATGCAAAGAAAAAATATGCTTATGTGAAGAAAATAGTATTATAAATATTTTTTTTTTTTTTTTTTTTCTTTTGGGGGATTTAGCTAGAGTGGGGGAGATACGATAAGAAATAATTATGATAAGAAAAAAAAACCTCGGTAGCTAAAAAATATTGTTTTCTGAGAAAAATCATCTACAAATACATATATCAAAACAAAATTTTTTTTCTTTTCCTCTATCTCTGAAATCAAAAAAAAAAGCCACCCACCACTCGTTCTATTTTTTTTTTTTTTTTTTTTTTTTTTTTTTTTTTTTTTTTTTATTAAAAACTCCCCCCCCCCCGGAAAAATTAAAACCTCAAAAATATAACAAAAAAAAAAAAAAAAAAAGATGCTAAATAATATATGTACTGTATAATATGTATAATAAATAAAACAAAAATAATTTATAAAATAAAAAATAAAAAACGAATCAATTCTGTACATGAGGTTGAAAAATTTTACAAAGAAATGTCAATTATGTAATGCGAAAAAAAAAAACATTCCTTCGTAAATCTCTTCCATCTTTTCGCAATTTATCTCCGATAATGTATTACAAAAATTAAAACAAAAAGGTCCTTGTTCTAATTGTAAATCGCGATAGGATTGGTTAACCAATTCACGAAGGATTTTTTTTTTTTCGTATATTACACATTACGTTCAGAACTTTTACTTGGGATTTGAAAATTGTCCCAATCTGGAAAACCAATTCCTGCGGGTGACAATTTATTATTCTCCAGTATATCTTCTTCCTGGGCCTTCTGAAATGACGATTCCACGTCGTAAAAAAAATCTACCGTTGAATCGCTCGTTCGACGATCTTGTTGATTTGGTTTTATAAAGGCCGGATTCATTATCGTGGGAAACGTTGGTGAGGTCGGAGACGTTGAGAAAGTCGGTGAGGTTGGACTCATATTACTTCTCTTCATTGAACCTACACCTGATGTGTTCGTATCATTCGAAGCAGCTTGACCAGTGTAATGCTGATATATACGTTTCAACAGCACGTACTGCGTGACAGCAATTAACGGTTGAGCGCCTGTGATATGCCACATCGTCGACAAGAACAGGTTCACACCATTGATTGAGTTGGTGATGGTGTCGTGATATAATCCATAAATTCCCCACCAAGGACCTGATATCATGGGCAAAACGGCAATATACGTCATTGTATATTTAAGGGTATCAAGAGCGTTCCGCGTCGCATTACTATTGCTCTGATAATATCCACCTGAGCGTCTTGAGAATTGTTTCATCGAGTTTCTCAATATGAGCATGAAGTTTATTCCATAATATGCTCCAATTATCGCAAACGATGAATTAAAGAAGAAATAGGACGCATATTGAGCACACGTCCATTTCGCTGCCGCTGCTAAATTATCATTATCTTTCGCAATCCCTGATAATATTGCAAAAGGCAACGCTGTGCACGTTGGATATAAACACCACAAAGCCATGATTATGTTCAGCATATTTGGGGTGGGTATGTAAATTTCCCGCGACGTGAAATAATTTAAAGGATCCTTTTTACTTTCTATTTTTATCGTGGCGGCCGTGCCACTTGAATAATTGACGGGAATTGTGTATATTATACCTGTATGAGAAGAAGGGAGAAGATAAAATGATGATTTATTAGCTAAAGTCTTTCCTTGATACACATTCCAATTTTTTTTTATGCATTTAATCCTTCATTTTTTTTTCTATCTTAAGCTTTCGAATTTGTTTAAATTTTTTTTTTTTTTTTTTTTTTTTTTTGTATGCAATTATGTATTTAATTTAAGTCATTCCTTCAAAAAAAAAATATTAAACGAAACTTACCTACGAGGTATAGAATTCCACCAAAACAAAACATGGTCCAACCAATCTCTTGCATGAATTCCTTTTGCCAATATCGTGTATATACTTGCAAGAGCATAAATAGAGAGTGTAACCCTCTAAGATAACACGCAATCGTCCAAAAGAATAATAAACTATCAACGGGCAACGGTCTTATGCCGTTTCCATGATCTACAAATAAACCATGCCAGTTGTATTTAAACCTATACCCGAAGGTAAAGGTCCCCGATATTGCAAGTAAAATGTATGTCACCGCTGCAATGGTGACTTGAGCGACCCAAAGTTCGGACATTTGACAGTCATATAATTCGATACGCCAGTCACAATATCGTATCGTTTGGTTGTTGTTCATCTTTGTAAATGAGGATGATGATTATGATGGTTGAGGGAGGGATATTAGATAAAAAAAAATTTTTTTTTTCTATCAATCTATGATATTATTATTATTATTATTATTATTATTATATTAACTCAAGGGTTTATGGAGTTAAGAGAAAGTAAATAAACAGCCCTGACTGCAGTAAAATGAATATTATATTAGCAAAATTATCGATTCCATGAGCGAAAGTAGAATAAATCCGGTAATTTACAATTTTTTAAAAAAAAAAGTTTAAAGAGGGCGAGATATATATAATAAAAAAAAACGAATAGTTATTAGTATGACGTTTGATGCATAAAAGAGCTGATTTACATGGTTAATTACATACCTCTTGATGTCAAGCCTTTAACAAAGACGGAGTTAGAATAAAGTAATAACAAAGGGCTTATGCTCCTCAAAATAATTGGTGTTAATTATGTTAATTAGAACAAGACTTGATTTTTTTTTTTTTCAAAAAGAAAAAAAAAAGAGTAGATAAATATACAGGACTGAAGAAAGGTGAAGATAACAATTTAGTCTTTTTAATATAATTTCTAGGTAATACAAGCTGGACGGTTAATGAAAATAAATAAATAAATAAATAAAAATTCCAATGAAGTAACAAACATATATGCTGAATAACCCAGCTTAATTTTTTTTTTTTTGAAAAGAAATTTTTTTGTTATAGACAAAGAATGAATACGTAGTGGTTATAAAGAAAGTAGACCGGCAATCTAATTTGATTACACATGCACAAGAAGGACAAAGGACTTATTGATCACTGAGGGTGAAGAATAAATATTTTGGAAAAAAAACGTAAAGAATTAGGTTATACGATGAAACGAAAGTTAACGTGAGATGAGACGGACTAAAGTTGAAGGGATATAGTGGATGGAACCAAAAAAAATCTGCTGAACTACGGTTTGTTCCTGCGAGAAAAGGTATATTCTGACGGAAAGATTGGATATATATGTTTTTTTTTTTTTTGAGTGATAATTTAAGAAGCAAAGCATTTTTTTTTTTTTTAGTTTAGTTTAACCATCTTCAATAATTCCATTATCAAAAACAAATTTTTTTTTCATGATTTTTTACTTATTTGACTTTTTTGGAAAACAAAGAATAGGAAATAATGGGAATCGTATCAAATAAATTAAAAAATAAATTATTATAACTTTTAACGGACATTTTATTGGCCCCTCTGATCATTTTTTTGCAAATACCATATTTAGCATTGTCAAATTTGGAAAACAGATATCTGAATTGGATTAATTTGGAATGTTACGCAAGCAAGGGTATATGGTTATGCCATCTTTTAAAGAGATGTTTTACGCAAAATTTAACTTTTTTTTTTGATGCTTGTTGTGATACCTGTAAAAATCAATCATGCACCATTTCTTATTTCTTCGTCAGACGATAAATAAATTTATGTTTTATCACAAAGTTTACACCGCGTCCCCCTTTTATTATCAAGGGAAATTACAAAAAACCGTTAAAAATATTTTGACAAGGTTCGGGTACGTTGTTTAAGTTCTATTTAAAGAAAGATAATTACTGGAAGGGGAAGAAAAACATAAACAAAAAAATATATTATTTTTTTTAAAATCAAAACCCATTTACCAACCAGTCATTTTAAACCTTTGTAATTTAATATAATGGATCATGCATGTACGCTTTAAAAATTTTATTTGTATTTTTGTTTTGCATCTTGTAAGACTTCTTTGTGGGGAAGATTTTTTTGGATTACGTCATTTAAAATCTAAATTATCATTGGTAAGCTCAACCTCCTTCTTTTCCTTCAAAAATGATATAATTACATTATTTCCATATCCTTTAGAGGAATTTCCTTTACGGTAACTTATGACGTTTTTATATTGTGCCATTATTAACAAATGCTTATCATCGTTGTAAAAAGTTTCTATTCGTTTAAAAAATCATCAAGTAAGTTTAAATGATTCGAATTCTTGAAATGCAGAAAAAAAAAATTACGTTAACGTTATTTTTTTTGGAGGACTGTTTCCCGTTTATAATCAATTATTTCAAATTATTCTCTAGAATTAGAAATCAATCATATCCTTACTTGATTATGCTATTCTGACATAATCACCAAGGATTCAATTTATTACCAAATTGGCTAATTAATCATGCGTAACAAACAAATCCAATGTTTTTAAATTAGGAATCAAATTAGCCACTTTTGAACAATTACCTAAAATATTATCCCTGGATAAGTATTACGAAGATCTTTTTTGCACAATAAATTTTCCGAATAAACAAATTAAACAGGGGATGAAGCTTCATCAAGAATGTGTCACTTTTCATTACCATTTTTGTCTCATACATCTTCAATAATGTAAAATTAGTCAGTCCAACGATTCGGAAACCTCGTGATATCTGAATAAGTTCCTTTCAAGGAAGACAGATACGATGTGTCTTCAAAAAATAATCATAATAATAATAATCATCCCATTTGATGAATATCAACGGAGTAGCCTTTTTTAGGACACATTTAATTATTATTTTTTTTTCTTACGAGACCATTATCAATTAATTGGTTTAAAAAAGCAAATCAAAATGGCTTAATTACCCGAGCAATAATTGGTTTTTGAAATGGGTTAAACGTGTGCACCATTTTTGTTTATTCCGTCGTGCATTTTCGTGCTATTTTTAAATCATTCACGATTCGAATATTTGATTATTATTATTCTTCAACCTTTCACCTCACGGTTAAAGGTTCACATTTGTTTTATTTGATTTTGAAATAATTGAAGAAGCACGTGTTCTCGGAATATTCCTTTTGACCTTTGTCTTTGCTTTTACACGAACCAAAAACTTTTTTTCATCTCTTTGGGATGTCAAAAATTAATATCCTCAAGGTCTTTGTCAGCTTTTTTCTTTTTTCTTTTGTTTTTAAATGCAAACAATTCTGATAGGTGAACTCTAATCATTATGTTATTATGAAAACCCAATCACGCAAATCTGGGCTTCGTAATGCCGTTTTGATCATGTCATCCTTGGCTCGTAAATGTTCGGTCGCAATTTGATTGGATGAAATGAAAATTGGCCGCAGGAATTCGAACCATGTTCAAGAGATTTACATGATGCACTAGTTCAATTTTAATTAGTTCTCGCTGTTCGAAAAAAAGTTTTTTTGCATACGGCATTAATCCTTGTTTTATAATGATATAATACGATGAACTAATTCTTTATTAAAAATTCTATTTTTAATTAATAATAATTATGATAAATAATAAAATAATTTTCTTTGTCACAACCAACGATTGATTATTCATCATAAACAGGTTTGTTTATTTCGGATAGCAGATGTCTTCCTGCCTAATATGTGAATATGTGGCTTGCATAGCTTAATTCTTTCGTGGGAATGATCAAAGGATGTGACGGATTAAAGGTCGCGAACGAATTATTCCTTAAAAATCCTTATTCATAATCTATTTTTAATCGTTTGCAACTTATAATTCGTTAATCTACATCAAACTTTATAATCACTGACTTGATATAGAAATTCAAAAAAAAAATTCCTTGTCTACCGAATTAATTTACCTCACGTTTATTTATTTATTTATTTTTTTTTTTTAAAAATTTTTTTTTTTTTGCTGAATGCCAAGGGTCAAGTAGTCAAGTGGTCAAGTGGGTCCATCTAAAATATGCGCAGCCACGTTTCGCTTAAAAAATAATAATTACCACTTGTTTACCATAAATTGACCTTTCTCCGATCACAGAATAAAAGGTATCACTCGATTTTTAATCTAGTCAAGACTACGGCAAAAAAAAAAAAAATATTTAAAATAAAATAAAATCAAATTAAAAATAAAAAAAAAGATTTACCGGAAGTTACGGAGTCATTCCTTTTTCCGCGAAAAGAGGTGGTTTTGAAATGATTTTCAAAGTTAATTTTGGTCATATTAAAAGGCAACATGTTTAAATTCAATTATTAATTTCTATAATTAGGAATATCATGTTGGACAAAGTTTCAAACTTAAAAATTTTTTTTCCCATTATATTCTTTTCAAGTATAAATTATGAATCATTGTCTGGTGGCTTTGCGCAGGTCTAGTTCGCCCATTATTCATTTTGTAAACTTTAATTAGCAGCACAGAAGCGATCACCCCTGGGTATTATTTTGACGTTCTATTGCTAAATTTAGTACCGCAGCGGCCGAATTTATACATTTGGCGAAACTAACAGCCATGTGTCAGGTTTCATATTTTTTTTAGCCTATCATTCATTAACCTTAATTAAGACATGACGAAAATTTGAAACCCTTGTTTAAAGTGATTAGCCATGATGATCACTGATGGTTTTAATTAGTCTATGGGATAATGAAATGATCCGCAAATTAGGTGAACAAATCGAGATTTCAAGTTGTTTCTTTAGTTTTCTTCTTTTTATTAATCTAAATCAAGGATTCAAAAGTACAAGCCTTGAAAAAAAAAATTTTTTTTCTGTTAAATTGAGAGGTTTTTTTTCCTTTCTCCTAGATCTTTAGTCTTTTACCGCATCGGGCAAAATAAAAAAGAAAGAAAAAAATATATATTTTAAATCGCGTTCTATAATTGATTTTTTATTTTGCTTTTTTTTTAATACGGATAGATAAAAAGAAATTCTCATTGCATAATCACGGAATAAATTAATCAACCTTTGGTAATTCGGAATAAAAAATTTCTATTTTCATGATCTTAGATGTTTTACAAATCCTTGTATACATCGAACTCCTTTTCAAATGATTCGAACGCGAATATGATTTACGTTTACATGTTTTCTATAAATAAAAAAAAGACCTTTTTTATGTCGGCTTGCATCAATAAAACGATTAAACTTTTCCCTACAGAATATCCTTTTGGATATTTCTAATCTTGGAGAACAAGATAAAATAAAATAAAATAAAATAAAATGAATGTACTCCTTGGACTTATCTTTGGCGTATTTATCTTACCAAGTGAAATGTGATTCTCCCTAAAAAGATAAAATACATACAT